TTCGCTCGCTGGAGCAGGTGCCCTACGACGTCGGCCGCCCTAAGCGAGACGCCAGTGGAAAACATACTTCTACGATGTCTAAGCGACATCGTGCAGCTGACAAGGGCTTCCTTTCGTCCCTTTCGCCTGACCGCAGTCTTGATGAGCTATCCCAACACTTCAACCAGCTGAAGCTTGTGGAGGATGCGCAGGCGCTCGAGCGTATGTCCCACGAGCGGCAATATTCCCGACTGCTATTCCATTGCTCCCAGATAAGTGCAATTTTATCTTCATCTCGCAGCTAGCATATTTATATTTATGCCTTGTTTCATACTGTTTCAGATCAATGTCCTTCTCGCTCATGGTCTTGGCTCAACAGACCCTACTCGCCAAGCCGAAGAGCTTGCCTTCATGAAAAGATTAGCTAGCGAGAAAGCCAATGAGGTCACCCGCCTGCAAGACATGGTCCGCGAGTTGGCAAACGAGAAAGATGAGACTGCTCGCCTAGCTAATGAGAAGTATAATGCGATGAAGTCCTCTCTTGAGAGCAAGGCCGCTCGCCTTCATGTCGAAAAGGAGCAGTTGATCGCTATTTCTCGGCAGAAACAGGAGGTGGTGGAGGCGGAGTGCATGAGGACTGTCGCACTGGAGCGTGCGAGGAGCTTGTACGACCATCTGTGCTCGATAGATGGGCAAGACTTCCTGCGAGCGTATCGTGAGGGCCTGACCCGCAAGTATCCTTCGTCCGCACATTTTGCCAATGCCGCGACACCAATAGGTATGGGCTTCATGGACCGGGGCATCCGTATGTATGCGGCCCGCCATAATCTTGATGACCCCTCGGAGGAGATAAGCGCCATCCTTGACTTGCTGGGTGATGAGATCCCCGGCTGGGAGGGAAATCCTACTGAACCCGTGGATTACGCCTGGTGGGCTGGGGTGCTCGAGGGAATGCTCGCAGAGCTGAACAAGTACGCCGCACAAGCCCCCTCTAATATGGCTCGCCTGGACCCTACATGTTCTGCCTCTACCCTTCCTGATATCCCTCCTTCTTGAGGCTTTTATATTTTTCTCTTCATTCGCAGCAACTTTGAACAATTCGTTTTTTCCTTTCTGAACAATGTTAATTTTCATTTGGATATTTTTATTATCTATCGTTTTGAGTTTATTCTGTTACATTCTTATTTTTACATTTCATGCTTTTGAGTTCTATTATGACTTCTTTCATTCGCGCGCTTCGTTTCGTACCTTCGAGAGGGTTCTGCTCGACGCATATTCCAATAATTTCTTTGTTTCTCGTTTTCTAGTGAGATTTGCTCGATGCAAATGCTCGCTCGCAAACTTCGTATTGGAAATATTCCAAATATTTTCTAACTTTCTTTCTCGCTTTCTAGCGAGGTTTGCTCGATGCAAATCCTTGCTCGCAAACTTCGTATTGGAAATATTTCAATGATTTCTAACTTTCTTTCTCGCTTCCTAGCGAGGTTTGCTCGATGCAAATCCTTGCTCGCAAACTTCGTATTGGAAATACTCCAAATATTTCTTTCTTTCTCGCTTTCTAGCGAGGTTTGCTTCGATGCAAATCCTTGCTCGCAACTTCGTAATGGAAATACTCCAAATATTTTCTTTCTTTCTCACTTTCTAGCGAGATTTGCTCGATGCAAATGCTCGCTCGCAAACTTCGTATTGGAAATACTCCAAATATTTTCTAACTTTATTTCTCGCTTTCTAGCGAGATTTGCTCGATGCAAATGCTCGCTCGCAAACTTCATATTGGAAATATTCCAAATATTTTCTTTCTTTCTCGCTTTCTAGCGAGGTTTGCTCGATGCAAATGCTCGCTCGCAAACTTCGTATTGGAAATACTCCAAATATTTTCTAACTTTCTTTCTCGCTTTCTAGCGAGATTTGCTCGATGCAAATGCTCGCTCGCAAACTTCATATTGGAAATATTCCAAATATTTTCTTTCTTTCTCGCTTTCTAGCGGGGTTTGCTCGATGCAAATCCTTGCTCGCAAACTTCGTATTGGAAATATTTCAATGATTTCTAACTTTCTCTCGCTTTCTAGCGAGGTTTGCTCGATGCAAATCCTTGCTCGCAAACTTCGTATTGGAAATATTTCAATGATTTCTAACTTTCTTCCTCGCTTCCTAGCGAGGTTTGCTCGATGCAAATCCTTTCTCGCAAACTTCGTATTGGAAATACTCCAAATATTTCTTTCTTTCTCGCTTTCTAGCGAGGTTTGCTCGATGCAAATGCTCGCTCGCAAACTTCATATTGGAAATATTCCAAATATTTTCTAACTTTCTTTCTCGCTTTCTAGCGAGATTTGCTCGATGCAAATGCTCGCCCGCAAACTTCGTATTGGAAATATTCCAATAATCTCTTTTTTTTTTTTTTTTACTTGTCGCTCAATTGTGATCCTTGCTCGCTTATGTGCGAGTAAGAATTTATAGCTTCTTCAAGACACCAGGTTTTCCAAAAAAGGCCACTTCACATTCTGTTTTTTTTTTCTTACTTAAAAAAAAACATGGCTCATCCCGCAGACAGACGGATGAACAATCAAAAATATGGCCTATTCTTATAATACAAAATGTTATAACACACTAGCACTATATATAGTAGCGCTTCAGATGACACACGTTCCATGCGCGAGATATCCTTAAGCCCTTCATATCCTCCAACATGTAAGCTTCTCCTGCGAGAACCGCTACTACCTTGTATGGGCCCTCCCATTTCTCCATTAGCTTTCCCACCGTTTTGAGTGCATCCGCCTGTTTTAAGACCAAGTCCCCCACTTGAAAGACTATCTGCCTTACTTTCTTGTCATAGGCTGCCTTAATTTTAGCTTTGCTGAGCTCCATCCTTCCTCTCACGCTCTGTTGCTTTTCTATTACCAAGTCCAACTCCTCGCGCAAGCGCATGCTGTTAGCTGTTTCTTGAAAATTCATAATTCTGCTCGACGGCATTCCTACCTCTACTGGTATGACAGCTTCCGACCCGTACACCAACGAGAACGGACTTTCTCCGGTCGCTTCTTTTGGTGATGTTCGATATCCCCATAGTACCGCGTGCAACTCCTCAACCCAATTTCCTTTCGCGCCCTCCAGACGTTTATTTATTCCTTCTAACAGTACCCGATTGGTCACCTCGACTTGCCCGTTCGCCTGCGGGTGAGCCACGGCTGCAAATCTTTGCTTGATACCCAGACCTGCACACCATCCATGTATCTTGGCTGAGTTAAACTGTGTTCCATTATCTGAAATGAGGTCCCTAGGCAACCCATATCGGCAGCAGATATTTTGCCATATGAATTTCATGACCTTTGTATCCGTTATTCTGGCCACTGCCACCGCCTCCACCCACTTGGAGAAGTAATCTACAGCGACTATTAAGAACTTTCTCTGCCCCTTGGCCAGTGGCATGGGGCCTACGATATCTATCCCCCATTGTGCAAAGGGACAAGGGGAAGTTATTATCGTCATATCCTCTCCCGGCGTGTGAATCAGTGGGCCATGCCTCTGGCACTTATCACATCTCTTGACAAACTCTCCCGCGTCTTTTCTCAAAGTGGGCCAAAAATATCCTGCCCTTAGCACCCGCGAGACCAACGCTCTACCCACTGCATGGTCCCCGCAGCATCCTGTGTGAATCTCGCTCAGCACGTAACGGCCCTCTTCCAGAGATAGACATCTTAGGTGCGGCCTAGTGTATCCTCTTTTGTGAAATATATCCCCGATCAGGCAGAAATTGCTTGCTCGCTGTTCCAGGACCCTCCGCGCTCGGCCACTCGCTAGGACCTTTCCTTGCAGACACGCCCTTATTTCCGTCCGCCAATCTTCCCCACTTGTCACTGTTGAAACACGCTCCTCGCCCCCGCTACGTGGCTCCCCTACTAACAACTGTATTTTCCTTGACTCGTATCCCACCGCCATGCTTCCTACCTTTGCCAAAAAATCAGCATGCTGGTTCTCCTCTCGGGGTATTTGAGCTAGCTCGCAAAATTCGAACTCGCCCATCATCGACCGTACTGTCTCGCAATAAGCTATCATTCGCTCGTTTTTTATCTCGAATTCGCCCTTTACTTGTTGTACTACTAGCTGTGAATCCGAAAATATGCTCAACTTCCTGCCCCTGGCTGAAGATACCAGCTTCATCCCATGTATAACTGCCTCATATTCTGCTTCATTATTTGAGGCTCTGAAAGGCAACTTTATCGCATATTCCAACTCCTCGCCTGCCTCCGCTAGCAACACTCCTACTCCACTTCCTGATGCGTTCGCCGAACCATCGACGAACACCCTCCATATTCCTTGCTCCTCTGGTCTCGTCGTTTCTTGCAGAAAATCTGCTAGGGCTTGCCCTTTTATGGCGATCCGTGGTTCGTAGCTGATATCGAACTGTCCCATCTCTACTGCCCATTTGACCATTCTTCCCGAAACTTCCATCCTTCCCATCACTGTCTTCATAGGGTGATTAGTCTGAACCACTATTGCGTGCGAAAGAAAGTAGGGTCTTAGCTTTCGTGCTGTCGTCACTAGCGCCAGGCCCATCTTTTCTATCTCGGAGTATCTCATCTCAGCCCCTCGCAAGAGTTTACCCGCATAATATACCGGGCTTTGCACTCCTTCCTCTTCTCGGGCTAAGACCGAGCTGACTGCGAACTCGCCTACCGCAAGATATACATACAGCTTTTCTCCTGGCGCGGGCTTCGCCAACAGCGGGAGACGAGCGAGAAGATTCTTGAGCTGCTCGAAAGCCTTTCCTGATTCTTCCGTCCACTCGAATTGAGTCCCCTTTCTTAGTATTTTAAAGAAAGGGTGACTAGCTTCTCCCGCCTTAGATATGAATCTACTCAGAGCTGTTATTCTTCCAGCCAGCATTTGAACCTCCTTGATATTTCGTGGGGCATCCATATCCAAAACCGCCTGCACCTTCTCCGGGTTCACTTCCACTCCCCTTTCCGTTACCATGTAACCCAGGAATTTTCCCGTTTTCACCCCAAAAGCACACTTATTGGGGTTAAGCTTCATGCCGTAGCGTCAGAGCGTGCAGAAGGTTTCTTTTAAATCCTCTAAATGATTGCTCGCCTTTTGACTTTTCACCAACATATCATCCACGTATATCTCCATGTTCCTTCCGAGTTGGTCCTTGAACATTTTGTCTACTAGTCTCTGGTACGTGGCTCCCGCATTTTTTAGCCCAAAAGGCATTACCGTGTAGCAATAAGTTCCAGTGGAGGTGATGAAGCTCACCTTGGGCTGGTCGCCAGGACACAATGGAATCTGATGGTACCCTTGCGAGGCGTCCATCATACTTAGCATCTCGCAACCGGCAGTTGAGTCTACAAGCTGGTCGATTCGTGGCAGAGGATAGTAGTCCTTGGGACATGCCTTGTTGAGATCCCTGAAGTCAATGCACATTCGCCACTTTCCCTCGCCCTTCTTTACTAAAACTGCATTGGACAGCCAAGTAGGAAAACGGATCTCCCGGATCTGTCCGGCTGCTAACAACTTCCGCACTTCTTCCTGTATAATTTTGTCTTTCTCTGCTCCAAAATGCCGACGCTTTTGCTTGACTGGCTTCGCATTCTGCTTGACATTCAGTCTGTGCACCACGAGCTGCTCGTCGATACTCCCGAGATCTGGTGGAGTGAACGCGAACACATCTTGATTCTGCCTTAGAAACTCAACCAGCTGTCGAGACATGTCTGCATCTAAACCGCCACCTATGCGGGTGGTGCGAGAGGCATCCTTCTCGCATAGTTGGATTACCATTAATTCCTCCATCGGCTTCACGTGGGCTTCTTCTTTTGCGGGGTCTACTTTCGGCATCCGGTCCTCCTTCCCCTGGCTACCTCGGGAAACAGTGCGAATAGCATCTATGTTTCCTATTCTTCTCAAGGCGTCATAATAACACCTCCTCGAGGTCTCTTGATCCCCTCGGACCTCCCGATTTGATCTAAGACGGGGAATTTCAGCTTCATATGGTAAGTTGAGACTACTGCCTGAAATGAGTTCATAGACGGTCGCCCCAATATGATGTTGTAGGTAGAAGGCGCATCCAGTACCAAAAACTTTACGGATCGGGTTGCTCGCACCGGCTCCATTCCTAGAGAAATGGGCAGGCATACCTCTCCGACCGACCGCACTGACTCTCCCGAGAACCCGACCAAGCTTGTCTCTACGTACTTTAACTCGAAATCCATATTCATCTTTCTGAAACAATCATAGTAGATAACATCAGCGGAACTGCCGGTGTCCACTAATATTCCTGCGATATCGAAATTCGCTACCATGGCAGTAATCACCAGGGCGTCAGAATGTGGCTGCCTGATTCCTTCTTCGTCCTGGGGACCGAAAACAATGGGCGGCACGTAAGATATTCTTTGCACCTCCTCGAGCTGAGCTTCCATCTCGCACAAACGTCGGAGGTGCGCACGGCTTGCCCGATCTGCTTCTTCTATCTCTCCAAATAACTCCTCCGTCTCTCGCAACTGTCTCAGGTGCGCTCGCCGGGCCCTGTTGGAGTCTCCTCCTGAAGGTCCTCCCAAAATCATGCTGATGAAGTTGGCAGGCGCCACCTGGTCCTTCCTCTCATTTAGCTTTTCCCTTCCCGGCTCAGGTTTGCGGGGCTCGCTCGCACGCCGAGCTGGGAACTGCTGCGGGCGTTGGTTCCCCTCTTTCACAAATTCTGGCAGATTCTTCGCGCGTATGAGCCTTTCGATTTCGTCACGAAGGTGTTGGCATTCGTTGGTGGTGTGGCCATAATCATTATGAAAACGGCAGAAACTCCCTAGCGTGGGGCTTCTCTTCGGGGCCTCCGCGTACGTGCGAGGCCACTTTAACTTTGGGTTATTCTCTATGGCCAGCAATATCTCTCCTGGTTGTGCGACTAGCGTGGCGTAGCTGTCATAACGAGGTCCTATTTTTCTCTCGTTCTGCACCTCCCTTCTAGCAAGTTGAGTCGGTTTCTGCATTCTATCCTCTTTCTTTTCCCTTTTCGCCTCGAGGCCGCCTTTGCCCTCGCCAAACTTATTATGCACCGCTTCCTCGGCGTTCATGTATCGCTCGGCCTTTTTCAACAAAGCATTAAAAGATGCGGGGGGCTTTTTCGAGAGCGAAGTGAAGAAATCACCCGCCCGCAGCCCTTGCGCGAGGGCGCTAATCAAAACTTCCTCCGAGGTGATTGGTACCTCCAAGGTGGCCGAGATGAAGCGCTTGATAAAACTTCGTAAGTGCTCTCCCTCCCTCTGCCTGACTGCGAACAGAGTCAGGGTGCTCCTCTTCTGCTTCTTTGAGCTCGCGAAGTGATCCATAAAGCAGGCGCTTAGCTGGTCGAAACCGCGAATCGTGCCCACAGGCAGCTGGCTGAACCAAGCTTGTGCGGCTCCCGCTAACGTAGTCGCGAAGACCCGACACTTCACTCCCTCAGTAAATCGGTGCAAATCCGAAGTGTTATTGAAGCGACATAGATGCTCACAAGGGTCGGTGGTTCCCAAGTATTCGTAAGTGACAGGTCGAAATGAGTGTGGTAGATCGTCATCCAGAATGTCGGCTGAGAAAGGGCTTAATGCACTGAGCGAGGAACTTGCGCGGGCGGGTCCCTCGCTCCCCCGCCCCCCAATCTCCCCCATCCTTCTTTTAGGCGACGCAACCTCGGGCTCCCTTAGCGTGCGCACAGAGCCCTCCTGGACTGCGCTCGCCAAGAGTGCCTGCAGGTTTTCAATAGTCATGGCGACCATGGGGCTACCTCCCGTAATGCCGGCTGCCTGCGGTGTCTCCTCTCTAGCGGTAGAGGCCTCTCCGACGGCTGGCTGGTGCTCCTGCGGGGCTGGGGTTGCTTCGGACTCCATCTGACTGGTTAGATCCCTTACTATGCTGGGAAACGAGGCCATTGATAAACGTATACTGGTTAACGAAAAACAGATAAAGGTGCTTTTTAAAGGAAAACGTTGCCACAGCTTTGCTCAACGGTTTCCCACAGACGGCGCCATTTGATCGGGGCGGATTCGTGGTGGGCTGGTTTAAAGAGTGGAATGGGCCTGGATTTGGACCGGGGACCACAGCAAACCTACAAAGAAAGAAAAGAACCGGACTTAGGCCGGAGTTAGCACTCCGACGGCCAAGTCAGTAAATTTCTGAAGAAGATACTAGTTTATATACGTAATTTAGGTATGTATGCCTGTTCTGCTTTACCTGTATTTACTGCCCCTATTTATACTAGAAAAAGGGGACGGACGTCAAATACTCTTCAATTTAATTTACCTGTCCCATCGCGGTAATTAAGCATCCGGACCTCAAATTACCTTCAATGCAGTTTAATCTGTCATTTCACTGGCGGCTGCGGGGGCAAAAAGTAGAGGCCGAAGAGACATTCCTCTGCGCTTGTCAGTAGATTGGACGTGCATTAAATACCCCATGTGCAGCAATGATCATCTCTGGTCGGGGGCGAGCAGCTTGGCGAGAGATGCGAAGCCGCTTGGCGAGAGAGTGAAGCTGCTGGGCGAGAGATGCGAAGCCGCTTGGCGAGAGAGTGAAGCTGCTGGGCGAGAGGGTGAGGCAGCGATAGGCCTCACGCTCGCGGGCTACTCGCGATCCGTGGCCTAGTCCCTCTCGCCCAACCGGTACCAGTTTGATGGGCCTTCTTCTGTTAATGGGCCTAAACGGTGCCTTTTGACCTCGTTTGGGCCTTTGGTCCTTATTGGATCCATCAAGCGATCCCGGGCTGGATCAACTGTCAAGATATTTGTGAGGCTCAATTCCTTTCAAGTTGCAAATTATGTATGAGGTGAAAGCAACGTGCAAGATCATATGAAATAATGTGTTGCACTCATTGTAAATACACCACCATGCACCCAAAATGTATACGAGATATGGCATCTGATGTATACACGCTTGATTTTTATCAGTCGACTGGATTTGTAGGTTTTGTGCCATTAGATTTGCTCTTTTTTATCGACTTTTAGTTGATTAAAATACATGTTTTGGTAGTTTCAAGTGTATTTACGAATAAGCTAGCATGTTCGCAATTTTCTTCTTATTTTTTATCATCATGTTGTACGTTTGATTACATATGCCATTTTCGTTTAATTTGTTCCCCCGTACATATTTATGACATAATTTTGTGTTCAAACAATTAATTAAGATAAGAGGCAAGAAGGCACATCAGCAAATGGTGAAGTTTCTTTATTTATAGTAAAATATATCCAAGTTGTAAGATATATTGTTCAAAGTTATGCTCAATGGCTTCAAGATTTTCCTGCAGATTTTTCAGGCCCTCCTAGGAAATTATTATTACTGCTCGCGTAAATAGTCTTAATTTTACTGCTCATTAACTATTAATAATCTTTGAACATAATTATTTTCAAATTTATTTCTTAGATATTTGTGCAAATGCAATTATATTTGATGTGGCTTATTTGTATATGCATGACACGATACAAGAGAATATCAGTTGGTTTCAATTTTTCTAGGAAATTACAGTTTCTACATTATAATCATTTTTTACAACTCTTATATGAATCCATGCCATCCTATATTATGTACCTAAAACATTACAGTGTGTGGAGCATATCAATTCTCATTTTATTCATACAAAGTTGTAACAATCTTTTTACAATTTTGTAACTATTTTTAAAATTATTATAACATTTTTTTTAACTGATAAATTATAATAATAATTAAATTCAACCTTTGTGGCATAAATAAATATAAGCCTCGAACCACAACTAAGTGCAAAGCTCTGATCCATTAAAAAGTGAAATATTCAAACAGGTTGAGATAAATACACATAAACAATTGTCTTCAAACAGTTTTGTAAGTAGAATATGTAAAAATTGTTAAAGCTTATTTGTTGATTTAGTACAATAGAATATTTAAAAGATGATTCCGGACTTGAAATAGTTGTTATTAGGGAGCTAGATTCCTCTTTACATTTAAGTTGCTTATATTTAAGTTTTCTCAAGCACGTGCAATATGTGAGGAAAAATAATTTTCAAGATGTCTTCTTGAATTCATTTTTTTTTAGGCTAACAAATTTTTGCTTTAACCTTTTACAACTAAATTTTGGGTATCGGACAAAACAAGAGTGTATATATATTGTGCTTCATATTATTTTTCAAACAATACATACATTTAATTATATTATTCGTTTGTTGTCAAAAACAAAATATATAATAACCTTAGTTTTTTATGCTATCACTATAATTTAAATTTCACAAATAAATATTTTAATATTATGTTATTGTGGCACGGTGGACTCCACCACCAATGATATTACTCTATGCATGTGAAGCACAAAAACCTTCACGTAATAGCTTGTGCACATTATAAACTTAGTGTAACTATTATCCAAACATTTCTTTTAAGTGTGGATTAATCTCAAGCATTAACGTGTCATTTTCTCCTTGTATTAAAGCATGACTAATGCTTCAAGGAATTTTGTATAAATAGCAACATTTTGTATTGAGAAATGGGTACATAAGCTTTCAATAACAATATTCTCCTTTCACTAATCAATCTTTATTTTGCACACACGGTTAAATATAATAGTAAAGTTCTTATATTTATATTTTGCACTGTATTCTACAACACATTACCAGCACGAGCTTTTTGCTCTACAAAATAGTTTGTAAAATTTAATTTCTTTTTGTTGTACTATTTTGCTCTTATTTTATTTTCCGATGTCCGGAATCGAAAAGCAGAAGTTTCAAATCCTTGATGTTACCGGCAGTAACTTTTTATCCTGGTAATTAGATATCAAATTACACCTCCAAGGGCTAGATCTTGTGAAACCCTTGGATTGTGTAGATATCAAGGAGGCAAACAGGAAAGACGAAGCAAATGCTATGATTTTTATCCGCCATCATCTTTCTGAGGATTTGAAAGACGAATATATTCAATTGGAAAGGCCATCAGAAATATGAAAAAAAAAACTCAAAGATAGGTTTGATCACACAAAAACTGTGATTGTCCCACAAGCTCAATATAATTGGCAGCACCTAAGGCTGCAGGACTTCAAATCTGTTGCCGACTATAATTCGGCACTGTTTAAAACTTGAGTCCCGATTAGCCTTGTGCGGAGTTAAAATATCTGAAATCTGAATATGATAAATCGGAAAAAACTTTCTCCACTATGCATGGCTCGAAGTTGGTGCTCCAACAATAATATGGGCAACGCCAGTTTAAAACATACTTGGAGTTGATCTCTGTACTCCTCACAGCAGAAAAAATAAATGAACTGTGGTTGATTCGGGCGTGGTGCCCGCGGGACGGTGGACATGGTCCCCCTCAAGATACCCGAAATAATGACCGAGGTGGATATGAATATCCCCGTCGAAAGAATAATACGGTCAGACAGAAACAACCATTTAAGGCAAATCGCGATAAAGGCAATTTGCCCGCGGAAAGAATTCCAGAAAATATGTGTATTCGTTGTGGAATGACTGGACACTAGGCCAGAGTTTGCAGAACCGCCCAACATCTGGTAAATCGGTAACAGGATTCAAAAGGAAACAAAAGAAAAAATGTCCGAGCGCATGTCACTGAGGCAGATATGCCACTTGTTGTTCTTGAAGCCAGCACATCTGGGAACATGCTTAATCAAGATCCTGCTCAAGATAGAGCCTCTCTTGAGTTATGATATTTCTTTTATTAAACTTGATCCTCTTGTGTAAATTGCCAAATGAGCATCTCTTTTGGGTTATTTTGTACTCAATTTGTATATATCTCTCTCGGATGATGTAGTACCCAATATTGAGCTATTTTGTGTTTTGATGTATCCATGTACATATCTCCCTTGGAAGTTATGTTCCCAATGTTGAGCCGATATTTTGATCATGTATAAAACTATGAGTTTGTTATCATATCATTTGCAAACCACACAATGATTCAATATTAATTTTATGTTATTTAATTCAGGCAACCATGGAGAACATCGACAAAAGAGAAAATTGCCTACTCGATAGTGCAACTACACACTCAAAATTCAGTAACAAAATATGTTTCTCGAGTGTGACTTTGGGCAAAGCAAGAACTAAAATCATATCAGGTTCCGCGAAGATAATAGATGGCTCCGGGAACACAACAATTGTGTTGCCTAATGGTACCACTTTTTCATATTGAAATGCATTGATATCCACTAGATCAAATAAGAATCTATTGAGTTTTAAAGATGTAAGACGTAATGGATATCATTTAGGGACACTGGTTTAAAATACCGTGGAGTGTCTATGCATCACATCATATGTTATGGACAAAAGAATTGTTCATGAAAAACTCGAAGCGACAGCTTCTGGAGTGTATTGTTTCCAAATTCGAGCTTTCGAATCATATGCCACTATGCCATGGAAACTTATTAATCCCGATATACACGGGTTATGGCATGATCGACTGGGTCACCCAGGAATGACTATGATGCGTAGGGTTGCACAACATACTAAAGGACATCCATTAAAAGATACAAAAATCTTGATGTCCAATGAATATTTCTGTGAATCATGTTCACAAGGAAAGCTAATTATAAAACCTTCCATTGAAAATGTCGGTTGTGAATCACCATCGCTTTTACAATGTATTCATGGTAATATTTGTGGACTAATACACCCTGCAAGTGGACCATTTAGATATTTTATGGTTTTAGTGGATGCATCATGTAGATGGTCCCACGTATGCTTATTATCTACGCGAAATGTTGCATTTGCACTTTTGCTAGCACAAATTATTAAACTCCGAGCACATTTCCTGATTATCCCATCAAAAATATAAGAATGGACAATCCCGGAGAATTTACATCAAAAGATTTTGATTAGTATTGTGCAGCACTGGGAATAAATGTCGAGCACCCAATAGCATACATTCACACTCAAAATGGACTGGACGCGTCCAAATAATTGCT